GTTTTGAGAAAATCGAAGGTAAAGTTTTTGCCCCTTGTTCAGTTTCTTTAAAAGACATGGAGAGTTTTCTCTATAAAAGGGGCCGTTCAAATATAATCTTACGCCTGGGGAGGGGGGGCGGGTCTTTGGTTCCTGTAAGAAAAGTGTAAGGGGGGGGGAAGGGGGGTCTTTAGCTAATGTAATATTATACTTTTGTGAGGGGGAAAAAATATTTTCGACATAATGATGAACTCTGCATTTGTTGATGATAACTAATTTCACTTTTTTGTCACCATAAATGATCAGTAATAACATAGATACAGTGGAATCCTGATAAAGTCAACTTGCTTACAGTCAACACCTCACTGTAGTCCCGTTTCTTACCTTCTTTGTTTAAGTTGAAGTAATTGTGTTTCTGATTTTCTGATACAGTCTACCACTTGAGTATTAACCTTTCGTGAAGTCAACAATTTGGGGCTAAATCCTGAGGTGAATTCATTCTAGAAGAGGTATTTCGCCTGAGCGAGTGGTGTACACACCACCAATTACATATATGTACTTTGTTCTTTCATTATCTCTTGTTTTGGTGACAACTTCAGAATTATACTCCCTGAAATTGAGATTACATCTTGTTTATTACGAGGTACTTTGTCATTTTGTAGCTGTCATCTTCAATTTTTAATGGCAGTAGTACAATGGATAAAGTCAACCTTGCTCAAAGTCATCCCCTTTTTTTCTGTCCGGGGTGTTGACTTTATCAGAATTCCACTGTAACTTGTTTTGTTTTTTAATTAAAGCGCTTTTGTCATACGTGAGTTTCAATTTTTTCCCTTTTTATTAGTAAAAAAGAGTGTGTATGCAATAATTTCCTTGAATGATTTACTCTAATTGTGAGGCAGCGTGGTGAAATCAGGCGCTCGTCAAAATAATGAAAGTGGAAAAAAAAAACCTGGCATTTTTCCACAGGTTTGGGAACTTTTATTGAATTTTTTTTTCGCGTTAAACACCTTTTAATCCATAGGTACCAGACCTGCCAAGTGGTGTGATAAAATTGGCAATCTGCAACTGGCATAGATTCTTTGTTTATCCGTTCCCCCGTCGTTTTATGAAAGAAAAATTCTGAAATTATGCAAACTGAGCCCAAAAATGTGAAATTAAGCGATTCTGTTAATTTTTTACAAAGAATGATGAAGGAAAATAATCGGAAATTTTATGCAAAAAAATGATCAAATTTTGCTAAATTATGCGGGGTGCATAAAACCACGGTTACAGGTTTATAACAGAGGCACAAATCTCTGCACAAAGTGACAAAGTCAGATACACAGCTGCCGGGTACACAGATAGAATTGGAGCCATCTGATTGGTTCTGTTGGTATCATTGTGGACAAAGTAGATGGCCCTGGTTCAAGTACCGGGCTGGGCCTTCATGAACTCTGGGGGTTTGTGGAGTTTTCAAAGCTCTCAACCCACATGTCTTTGTCCTATCGAAGACGGACTTTAAAATTTAGGGGTTCCGCCACTTAAATAGCCTGATAGTGTTGGTATGGACTTTTAAAAAAACCTATACAACGACATGATAAGGTACAGATAAAAAAAACTGTCCTGACTGTCCTCCATGTCACTGACATCGACAACTTTGTTCACAGGGGAGAGGAAGGCAGCAACCCCCTCCTCCTTTAGATCTGTCCCTTCCTCAACAAACTTGCGGAAACTTTCACCGCCAACGTCTACCCCCACCATCAACATGTCTGTCGACAAAGGCGTGTTGGCGTGGAGTGGCAGTCTCAAGTCTCAGCTACCCAGTGTACTGCCCAGACAAGCCAGGCAAGTTTGGTGTCAAGATAATTCCAGCTCTGTGACTTCAGCAATGCCCACTGCACACTTGCCAAGTGCTCAGATAAAATTGGAGCCCTTCAATATATTTTTTTCATAATCTATTCTTGAACCCAAAGTGGATTTACCCAAATCAGTGTATTTTTGGAGATAAATTGAAGTCCATTCCCATCAGTTATGCGCAGCTTATTGTAACTGACAAAAAATTACGTTGGTTTATTTGCAATATTTGTCTGACTTACTATAAATGAAGCGAAAATACACGTTTTTATCTGTGTGTATTTACTATACTATTCTATAATGGTTTATTTGCTACTTTCGGTATGTAATGTGATCTACCGCGGTTCTGGAGACTTCATTTTGTCCTTGTTTCCTTGACACATGACAACAATCCAGTAGACAGGGATCATCCAGCAACAGACTTGCTTACACTCACAGATTTAACAACAAAGGACAATGCTGATGACAAGGAAAATGAAAATGATTCCTCGGACAGAGCGACAGAGCGGAGTTGACTCAAGAAATGTTTTTTGTTTTTAAAGTGCACTTCATCTGTACCTGCAATAGAAATGTCGACTGTTGTGACCCCAGCACGTCACTGACTTGAGCACTTGACAGCCATGGAAGATGTAATGGTGATGAGCTGATGGACAACTTAACAGACAACGATTTTAAACTTCTATCAACAATAGTGGCGACATCTATGAGGACAGGAGATAGCTGGGAGACGCGGGCCCGGGGACTCTCTTGAACTTATCGTCCAGCTCAGTACTGAGTACCATCTAGTTATGGGAACCCCTCTCCAACTCATACAGCTCACAGCTTCTACTGGGGTCCTATCAAGCCATCTAGTTGTGGAAACCTCTCTCCAACAAAGACAAAAAAACATTTTAATGGGCCTACGGCAGTCCTAAGCCTGCAAACCAACTTCAGTTGGGAACTCAGAAGGGAATGTTTTTTTAATAACCCACCCCCACCCCAAGAGAAAAAAAAAACTCAGCCTGAGTGGTCGGTGGGTGCTCTGGTGTGGTTTGTGCCTTCTTTCCTGTTAAACTTCTATTGTCCTTATAATATCTCTCCTATTCTTTGTATGGTACCCTCCAGTACTTACTTTCACTTTTTCTGTCCTCTTATGCCACAAGGTGTGGAGGGGAGGTCAATTGTTGGATTTATGCTAGGTGTTTTGATCATCATGCTGTTCCTTTGGAGGGTCTCTTTGACTTCGTTGATCCATCTTTTTCTTGGCTTTCCTTTTGCCATGAAGTTGAAGCCATCAAATCACAGTGGGTGGTTGACGGGTGCCTTTGTGTGGTTTGCTTCTTCTTTCCTATCAAACATCTACCATCTTTATCTTTCCTCCTTCTTTTTTTTTTTGTGTTTGTTACTCTCTTGTAACACCTCTAATCTTCGGCACTTATGACCTTATTCTGTTGTAAGTGCCGTAACACACTTACTAAAACTAAAACTAATCTGTTTTGTCTTCTTTATCGCCAGCAATGGTACTGATACTGATACATGGTTTCTATTTGGTCACTTTTTTAGCACAAGGGGCCTGTCCCGAAAAATGCTGTTTTGAGAAAATCGAAGGTAAAGTTTTTGCCCCTTGTTCAGTTTCTTTAAAAGACATGGAGAGTTTTCTCTATAAAAGGGGCCGTTCAAATATAATCTTACGCCTGGGGAGGGGGGGCGGGTCTTTGGTTCCTGTAAGAAAAGTGTAAGGGGGGGGGAAGGGGGGTCTTTAGCTAATGTAATATTATACTTTTGTGAGGGGGAAAAAATATTTTCGACATAATGATGAACTCTGCATTTGTTGATGATAACTAATTTCACTTTTTTGTCACCATAAATGATCAGTAATAACATAGATACAGTGGAATCCTGATAAAGTCAACTTGCTTACAGTCAACACCTCACTGTAGTCCCGTTTCTTACCTTCTTTGTTTAAGTTGAAGTAATTGTGTTTCTGATTTTCTGATACAGTCTACCACTTGAGTATTAACCTTTCGTGAAGTCAACAATTTGGGGCTAAATCCTGAGGTGAATTCATTCTAGAAGAGGTATTTCGCCTGAGCGAGTGGTGTACACACCACCAATTACATATATGTACTTTGTTCTTTCATTATCTCTTGTTTTGGTGACAACTTCAGAATTATACTCCCTGAAATTGAGATTACATCTTGTTTATTACGAGGTACTTTGTCATTTTGTAGCTGTCATCTTCAATTTTTAATGGCAGTAGTACAATGGATAAAGTCAACCTTGCTCAAAGTCATCCCCTTTTTTTCTGTCCGGGGTGTTGACTTTATCAGAATTCCACTGTAACTTGTTTTGTTTTTTAATTAAAGCGCTTTTGTCATACGTGAGTTTCAATTTTTTCCCTTTTTATTAGTAAAAAAGAGTGTGTATGCAATAATTTCCTTGAATGATTTACTCTAATTGTGAGGCAGCGTGGTGAAATCAGGCGCTCGTCAAAATAATGAAAGTGGAAAAAAAAAACCTGGCATTTTTCCACAGGTTTGGGAACTTTTATTGAATTTTTTTTTCGCGTTAAACACCTTTTAATCCATACTGAAAAACGTTCATTACATACATGCCCAAAATTTGTGATTTTTCAGTTTAAAAGGCTCTCAAGCATACCTGCCAACCCTACAGAAAAAATCGGTAGATCACCGACTTTTGGGTCAAACTACCGATCCACCGATTTTGAGATGAAGCCACCGACTTCGGGATTCAGCAGGGTGACTGCCAGGCCCCGGGAATTTGAGAAAGTTATCAAATATTTGAAAACCAAATCCGATAACGCCCGAAAGTTCATTTTTGCCGGTCGCGATTGTGATTCATTCGGCTCCCTCGAGAGTATGTTTCTTCATGCAGACAGGCGGCTATGGTGGCAAGCGGGTGTGATACCGACGTTTGATCG